AGTAGATTGATGTGATAAATAATAGCACTCAAATTAAACCCTCTTTTTGACAATTGTAGTATAGATATAAGTAGGGATCATTCTAGGCCGGGGATTAGGAGGGATTGCTAATCTAATGAAAACTGACTCAAAGATACAAAAATATGCTTAAAAACACTTAAACAAACTCAAAGACTCTTAACTAAACTTACATGACTCAAAACAAACTTAAAAGACTCAATACAATGCAAAACAATAAAAAATACTCAATTTAGAATCTAGGACTTAATTTGGACGAAAATAGAATTGGTTTTGACCCAAAAGACTCAAAAACACACTTTAGGACATATTTGAAACAAGTAAGTAAAGGGGATTGGGTTTTGGACGAATTTAAGAGAAAAACAAGTAACTAAAAGACTTAGAAGAGATTTGGACGAATTTGGGAAAACCAATGGATGATTAGATAGCTAGAGGATACTTTTTCACACATGATATATTCAAACACAAATTGATTTCCAGTTGCTTTTCCGATAAACCATGAACCTCAACACCCCAGATTAACCGTGACATCACTAATTAACCCTCAGATTTTCCTTAAGTTATTGGATTGGATGACATCATACGACAACCCAAAGCATTCTTTAAAAGTTCCCTACATGACATCATAATAGAGATACAATCAAAGATCATTATGTTCAATGAAAATCATAAGTATTGACAAAGCACTTGTAACTATGACATCATGATACTCATGTTAGGAATTTACTTAACATGATTGTGAAAACAACCTTAACTACTTGTGAATATAAGTTTGTGACGATTATGTGAAACTCCCTTATATTCTAGCACCAAATTCAAGCATGCAAATTAAGTAGGCCTCCCTAATCAACATACAAGAATAAGTTATCCATCAAATGGTTAAATAAATTGCATTCACAATTTATGAAATCACAACTGCACTTAATCAATTCATATCATAAATATAATCATGGTTTCAAAGCCTCCCCTAGCTAAAATGAGTTTAGCCTCTCATGTTCACAACAAAACAAAGGAAAATTGAATTAAACATTGCAAACAAAAGATAGATTACACCTAAAAATGTTCCAACACTCCAACTTGAATGCACAAACGTCCAAGGCTTCTTCTTCTTCTCTTCTTCCTTGCAAGGATGCAGCACAAGAGTTCTAGGGTGATTTTGGATGAATTTCTAGGTTGTGAATGGATTTAGGTTGGCAAGGTGGTGAGGCAAAGGTTGGGAATGGTGAATGGGTGTTTGGGTGAAGGTATGAAAGTGTATGAATGGTGGAAGAAGGATTGAAAGATGCGGCAGAGATTAGGAGAAAGGATGAAGGATGGCAGATTGTGCGGGTGAATGATTAGGGTTGAATAAGGGGTGCGGCTTTGGTATTTATTTTAGAGAAAGAATCCTAAGGTTTATTACATAGTTTAGGAAAATATTGGACCCCCAAATCCCTAAGGAAAAGGAGATAAAATCAGAAAATCCAAGGGAAAAAGGAAGGAAACTTGCGGCATAAATGGTATGAAAAGGGATGTGGTTTAAGTCTGAAATTAGGCAAGGATTTTGGATGAAAAATGTATGTAAGGTGTGGCATTAACTAAGGTGAAATAGTTATGTGATTTTGTGACATAGAATAGGAAACAAGGACCTCCCTTGCACGGCAAGGAAGGGAAAGTCTATGGGGTGCACGACAAGGATTGCTAAGTTGCAAGGAAGGCTTGGTTTGTGTCCTAAAATACATAAGAGTCTTCAATGTTGCTGAAACATGAGGTCTTTTAGGATTAGGAAAGGTTAAACCAAAATAAGAAACCTTGGCTTAACTTTCCTACTTCAAATAGAAAACCTTCTTTGACTAGGATTCCTCTTGAGATTAGGAATCCTCACACCTTTAGGTCTTCAATTTCATCCATTCTTTTTGCTCCAAACATATGCTATCCATTCCAAGTCCAATTTTGCTCCAAAATGCACCTTTTTGCTTCCTTAGCCATATGAACCTAAAAACAGACGAAAATAGCTTAAACTACTAAAATAACTATGAACTAACAACATAAATGTACGAAAACAAGCTAACTAAGTCGCCTAAATATGCTCCTATCATAGATGCACCAACAATCAAAGCATGGGCTGTCGCTAGAATATGACGATTCTTCCTTTCCACCACCCCATTTTGTTATGGGTTATGAGGACAAATAGTTTCATGAACAATCCCATGATCTTGTAAGAACCAAGATAACTCATAATTTATGTACTCCACCACAAAACTTTAATATTAGAGGAATACATCGCTTTAACCATTTGATGAAACGGATGAAACACATCTCAAACATCACTTCTATTTTTCAATACGTACAACCATGTCATGCAGGTGTAATCATCCATGAAAATAAGGAACCACTTAATTCCAGAAGTATTCCTAATAAGAAAATGCCCCACATATCATAGTATACTAGCACATACAGAAAAAACCTGTTATTCATACTTGAAGAGAATGAAGCACGATAACTTTTGACTTAAATACATACTTCACACTTTAATTCGGAGTCCTTAATACCACTAAACAAAATAGGTAACATATGCTTCAAATAAACAAAAGATGCTTGCTCCAAATGATGATGCAATAACCATAAATTCTGTAGATTACTATCACGCAACACACAAAACAAATTAGCTCTTCCAAGAACCACGTCATCCACATTATGTAGCTCATTTCTCTTAGTGTCACGTCAATGATCTCCTTTGTCCAAATATGTTGAAGCAAGAAAAATAAAGAATATAAATACAACACAATCCAATTATTCAGGGACTTTTGGTACAGACAATAAGTGATGGGACAATGATTGCTCCAATAAATAATTTTGTAAGGAAAGAGAGAGTATAAGACGTACTATTACCACTCCAACAACAGGAGCAATAGTACCATTGGTAGTTGCCACACACTTTCTATGAGAACGTGTCATAGGTTGAAAAAAAGTTGTTATCATACGTCCTATGATTTGTTGCACCAGAATCTAAAATCCAACATGTTTTCGCCATTGTAACAACACACAAGATAGTAGGGCACAACAACAGTAAAAAATACGAAGTTAGGCTTGATTATAGCCACAGTAGTGCAAAGATTTTGTTTAGGGTTTGGATCGAAAACAAGCTCTCATACCAAGAAGAAATATATTGAATATTTGTTACTTTATTCATCCTCTAGAGTTTACAATATATAGTTACACATGCTCTATTCTACAAGGTAAGTAATTACAAAAGATAAAGAAACTAAACACAAAAGATTACGTCAATTACAAATCATAATCCTTCCAAACCAAATATAGGACTCCTAGAATATTTATAATTTAATAGTCAAGTCAACACAATCCTCCTCAAAATGGTAGGGTTAGAAGAGACAAGTTTTATTCCTGTCTAATCTCTTCTAATCATGGCTTAATCAGGTGATTAATCAGTGGTTAATGATGACTAGGTTGTGCATAGTAACCTGGTGTTTGCAAACGGAGAAGAATAATGCACACTTGTATAGGCACCTTCATCCTCTCATGAAAGCACGGTTCCTTCGCCATGACGCTGACAGGCAAAGATCTCAAGCACATTTTCAAAAGTCCTACCTCCAGTTGATAATGACAAATGAAGTCCCTGCTCACCTCTTTTTTGAAGTTGTTAAGAAAGAGAATTGAAGCAACTAGATTTTCGGATTCATATTGTTTAGGTTTTGATGAATTGGGAATTGGGTTGTGAAAATTAAAAAAGATGATCCTACTTGATTGCCTTGTTTGATCTCCGCACCCATGCCTGGAATGAAGTCCACGCCCTTCGCTTACCTAGGGCCGTCTTGATTTCCTCCACCAACTGCCTTGTACTCACCAGAATCTGCAACGACCCTCTCGGTCCCTACTTCAACCTGTGGAAAATCAAGGAGGGCACCATGGAGTTCAGCGAGATTGAGGATGCCTTTGTATTATGTTTTTGGCCCACTTGTAAATTGTAAACTATCTTAGCTTGTTGGGATTTTGCTTGTAGGGCCTTTGTGTTAAATTTTTTGTACAGGTTTTATAAATAAATGGAACCGAATCCAAACCGGACCTATAAGGAACCAGATCCCTTCTGGATCCAATAAAACTGAGTCTACTGAGTAAGGGATTCGGACCGTTGAAATTTGATCCAACGGCTCAAACATGGGGCCCTCAAAAAGTTATAATAATTGTAACCGTTGGATCAAGTTTCAACTGCCCGGATCCCTTAGTCAGCAAACTTAGTATATTTGGGTCTAGAGGGGATCCTCTTCCAACCTATAAAACCAAACCAAAGTCAAACCGAACTATAAAAAAACCTAAAGAAAACCGATTAGAATAGTAATTTCAGTTCGATTTTCGATTTTAACAAAAGCTGAACCTATTGAAATTGAACCCACCCCTATTGAGAATTGACTAATATTTAAATAAAAAAATAGCAAACATGGTGTGCATTGAACGCCTTAAATAGCAAGAATATTAGCCTTTGTACGACGCACTGTTTAGTGAAAATGCACTTCATTTATGGTGTGCCAATGCATGCCATAAACAAGATAGACTTTTTACGGCAAAGGCTTTTATGACACGCTCTTGGGTGCTGTAAATGGTTATTACGGCATGCATTGTGCATCATAAAAACTAATTTTGGCATCGTGTAATACACTAAAACGGTAAAACCTGCATATGGTCATAATGTTGGGACTAAGCTGATTTTATAAGCTTATTACTTAATAGAGCTATAATTAAAATATATTAATTTTTTACTCAGTTATCTTTAATGAAAGTTGTATGGATACAAAATTGCATCTGCATTGGTAGTGAATCATGTAATTTTCAAGATGTAACATTGGAAAAAAAAAAAAGACACCTAATTTTAAAAAGCTAGTGCATGTGTGTATGAAGTGCTCTCTTTGATACTTCCGCTTTCTAAGTTGATGTGTGGCGTTGCAATGTCCAAAAGATGAGATATGAGTTTGTTAGGTGACCAAAAATTGATGTAGTAAAATGTAATTTACCCTTTTTTTATCCAAACACAAACGTATTTCATCCATACATATAGCATTACCATTGATTCAAATGAACCAAGATTGATACCAGGACAAGGCAGAATGTAGCAGTAAAACAGGTAAAACCAAGAGTCACGCCCACCAAACGTATGAGCTCAAAGAACGTCGATACCTCTTTTGCTCTTCTGAGTTTGCAATTATATCCTGGTAAATAATTCCAACCATTTTGTTGCCTTTTGCCACAATATTTCTCAAGTCTCCCCCTCATCTTAAGGACTTCCATCTTCTCTCTTAACACACTCAAATTTGCATCCACAATATTCCTTGATCCACCTACAGATAATACAAAGAATCAAACATGACATGCAAGTTAACTTTTTTGAATATATAATTGGAAGCTAGTTATTAATATATCACTATAATATGTTTATTTTTGTGGCCTATATTGGCATAGAGAGAAAATATAGAGAGATATGTGTTTGTAAGGTTGTGTAGAGGAATGTGTGTTATGCCCTTACGCAGTGCCTTTATTTATAGTAATAAGAGAGAGAGAGAGAGAAGAAATCCTTCTCCTCCAAGGATTACAAGTCCATATAGGAAAGAATAACTAGAATCAAATCTAATTTAGGATTTACACACACTTAAACTAGAAGTTTATAACACTCCCCCTTGAGTGTGTAAATACTCAAGTAGATTCGGCATCATGTAGAGGTTGAGGAAGTCAACTCATCGACACTGATTCTGGGAACACAGTATTCTCAATAAGGTAGGAACTTGCATAAGGAAGTAAGTCTCACAAAAAGCCCTATGGCTATGGTAAAAACCTATGGCTATCGTAAAAACCCGAGAGAGACAAAACCCATAGTCTAAGGAAAAATGCGTGAGAAATGCAGAGTCAAATGAAACATCTACAGGACGTCATCAGGGATATGATCAACCCAAGGTGGGTGCCTCGTCAAAACCCAGTTGGGTAACAAAAATCCAGTGGGAAAATTGCTCCTAATCGTAGGAAAAAAATAGTACATTAAGATCAAGAAAGTATACTTCATGATACTTTCCTGAGTTTGACACAATTCCAAAGAGAACTAGCAATTTTACAACTCATAAAGTATACGCATACCAATTCCTTGAACAAGCTTTTGAAACGTTGCCTTTGGTAGTGATTTGGTGAAGAGGTCGGCCAAATTGTCTTGTGAACGGATTTGCGTGACTTCAATCTTCTGATGCTATTGTTGTTGATGTGAGAAAAAGAACTTCAGTGCAATATGCTTGGTGTTTTCTCATTTGATGTAACCCATCTTAGGTTGTTCGATGCATGCTGCGTTATCTTCATAAATCGTCATCGGGACACCAACAATGGGATAAAGATCGCATGAGCTTTGAATATGGCCAACAATTGTTCTCAACCAAAAGCATTCCCGAGTTGCTTCGTGTAAGGCAAGAATTTCAGCATGGTTACATGAAGTGGTAACTAAGGCCTGTTTAGTTGACCTCCAAGAGATTGCGGTGCCTCTTACGGTAAAGACATAACCCGTTTGAGAGCGCGCCTTGTGCGGATTTGATAAGTATCATGCGTCAGCATAACCAACAAGGCGAGAATCGACTCGAGATAAGGGTTGCGGCATCACTCGAGGACTCATATAGATAGAACAAGCCCAAATTCGTAATAACCTTAAGGTAGCGAAAAATGTATTTAACACCAATCCAGTGTTTGTGTGTTGGTGTATTATTGTATCTTGCCAAAAGATTAACAGTGAATGAGATGTCAAGTCTAGTGCATTGAGCTAACTACAATAAAGCGTCTATCGCACTTAGATAAGGAACTTTAGGCTCCAAAATCTCTTTATCATCCTCCTTCAGACAGAAGGGATCTCGTTTGCATCTAGCGATCAAACGACCATAGGAGTACTCGAAGATTTCGCTTTATCCTTATTAAAACAGCGCAACACCTTCTGGGTGTAGTTCGTTTAATGTACTAAGATTCCATCCGAACGGTGCTCTATATCGAGACCGAGATAGTATCAAGTCTTTCCTAGATCTTTCATCTCAAATTCCGACTTCAGGTGCGCGATAGTTCGCACGAGCTCTTTAGGAGTTCCGATGAGATTCATGTCATCAACATATATTACAACAATCACAAAATCGGAATATGACTTTTTAATGAACACATAAGGGCATAGTTCATTGTTTAAATATCCTTGACTATTCAAATACTCACTCAGACGGTTATACCACATTTTTTCAGATTGTTTCAAACCGTAAGTGAACGCCTCAGCTGAATTGAGAGCGTGTTCCAAGTTTGGAAATATTTGATCCAGTCATTGTTAAGTCCTTGGGGAACTTTCATATAAATTTTATGTATCAAGATCTCCATAGAGATACGCAATTACTACGTCCATCAGCTGCATAATAAGTTTTTCAGAAACTACCAAACTTATAAGGGGTGAATAAGTTTGGTCATAGTCAATCCCAGGGCATTATGAGAAGCCTTGCGTAACAAGACGAGCTTTGTAAGGCACAATTTCGTTCTTCTCATTACGTTTCCGAACGAAAACCCACTTGTAGCTAATGGGCTTCACATGTGGAAGAGTGGGAGCTACAGGTCCAAACATCTTATGTTTTGCAAGTGAATCGAGTTCGACTTGGATTGCTTGTTTCCAATTTGACCAATCGGTTCTACGTCAACATTCATCAAAGGAATGAGGTTCAATGTCATCGCTCAACATGATCTCAGTAGCTACTGCATATGCTAATGCATCGTCAACGATTATCTCATTTCTACACCAAACATCATCTAAGCTAGCATAATAGACCGAAATCTCACGATTCTCAGGAGGTAGATTTGTCTCTTCAAGGACGCTTCCGTAATCTAGAATTTCCTTATGAGTTGGATAGAATGAGTAAGTGACAATTGGATTCATGGTAGGTTCTTCAAGTGCTTGTGTAGTGGGTTTCCTTTTCTGGTGGTGTGAATCCTTTGAACCAAGAGGTCTGCCACGTTTTTGTGTAGGGGCAGATGATTGGCTAGCCGCTAATGTACATGGATCGCCAAATATTGTGTAGTGGGTTTCCTTTTCTTTTATACTCATTGTATATTTTCTAAAAATCAATTAAAATCTTCTAGTATTATGCATTTTCCAACTCCAAAAAATCTAATTAATATCTTACAATAGAATTCTAACATAAATCTATCTACAAAACATTCTACCCTAACTCAAGTAACAAATATAAGAATGTATGTTATACCTATAAGCGGGATATGAAACCTAACTAAAAAGTAGAAAAAACATAATATACCTACAAGTAGACACAATAATCTATGACAAGTTGATTATAAAAAAGAATCTATAGGTAGATAAATACAATTAACCTATGATACACTTTGATTATAAAAATTAAAAATAAAATCCATAAATGGGGTTTAAACAAGAGGAAGAACAAGAAATAACAAAAAAATAAATAAATAACCAAAGAGATAATTAGGAGGAAATTAGATTTTTATAATAAATCTTATCATTGAAGAGATAATTATTGATAATTAAATAATTAAATTTAAGGATTTAGACTTATTTTAATAAACTGATATCAAGTTTCCCTAATAATAAATTATAAACAAAGGAATACTTTGATTGATGTGTTCTTGTCTAGACTATAGCTAAAACTACTTGAAGCATTTATATTTCAGAAGCAAACTGGAAATATGAAACTAAATTAAGGCAATGAAAGTCTATCCTGCGCATGCATGCCTCCCGAAATCATTAACAAAACTGGGGACTGAGAATTTGAGAGTTACCTTCTTCATCTAAGCTCTGAGCTCTTACTTGCATGATCCTACGAAGACGAGTACTACAACGGATCTTTATGGTAGATGGCTGTACAAGGTTACACAGAGAAGGTAGGGAAGAAGAAGCCTTCGCCATGCTGCTTCTGTTTATCTACATCTCATGATCGTGCGTGATTGGGGAATTTAATCCAATTCTTTCGAACTTTCACTTTTTCGGAATGAAATTTTTATACAAACAACTATTAAATGAACAACATAAAAAGGAGAGTGCACGTGGTCCATGAAGGTTTTGTGAACCAACAGAAAAAGAACAACAAATATTAGTGATATCATGCTAGCCAGAATTGATAAAGTAGTAAATCATACTAACATGGAGTTGGGTACGTGGTCCATTAAAATAGATAAATGTACATATCACCACTAAACTTTATTAGCCGTGTAAAGTTTGATGACATTTCTCAAAATGGGATCCCACATTTTGAAGGTCGGGAAGTAGTTTGGTCTGTATGATTAGATTGATATGTACAGGTCTCTAATTTAAAAGTATGCTGAGGAGAGAAATGTAAAAATTATGTCTAACTAGAAGGTGGAACATCTTTGATAAAAGAGAGAGTGTGGAAGATTGATTACTTAAGAAGGAACAGGCTCTTTAACACAACTGCAGTTTCTTGCAGAGATAATGTTGCCCCATTTTTATTATTTTCGTCAACACATGCTCCCCTTAAAGTACATATCACATCTTATGGTATCTCTAACCATCCAAGATCATCATTAGTGTTCTTCCCCTGGTGATCTGAAGGTAATGGGATTGGAGAATAAAAATACTCTGATTCAGAGAAAGTAACATCCATGGTCACATATATATGTCGAGTTTCAAGATGATAGCACTTATAACCTTTCTATTGGGAGGCAAAACCAACAAGGACACATCAACCGGCACATGGATCCATTTTACTATGATGAATCTTGTGAATATGAACATACGCTACACATCCAAACACACGAGGAGTAAGGGTATTGATAGATACTATGGGAACATGTTTCGTCAATACTTGAAGAGGTGTACAAAATTTCACAACCCGAGATGGCATACAATTAATCACAGACACAGCATAGGTAAGGACTTCAGGCCAAAATCGTTTAGGCACGGACGCACCAATAAGCAAGGCACGAGCAGTTTCCAAGATATGACGATTCTTTCTCTTGACAACCCCATTTTGTTATGGAGTATGGGGACAAGTAGTTCCTTGATCCCAAAGAAAAACAGACAATTCGTAACTAATATATTCACCTCCATTATCATAGTGGAGAACTTTAATAACAGAAGAATATTATGTTGCAATCATCTGAGAGAAGGACCGAAACACCATACTAACATCACTTTTATACTTCATCACAAATATCCAAGTCATATAGGTGCAATCATCAAAGTAACAAACCATTTAAATCCAGAAAGAGTACTAACAGGAGAGGGACCCCAGACATCAGAGTGCATAAGATCAAACATAAACAATCTTTTATTCATACTAGGAGAAAACGAAGCGAGATTGCTCTTTGCGAGAATACATACTTCACAATGTAAGTCTGATTCTTTTATTTCATGAAATAAACTAGGCAACATACCCCTTAAATAAACAAACAAAGCATGTCCTAACCGACGATGCAATAACCAAACTTCTTGCAAATTATTGGGACGAGATGCTCAAACTACATTAGCTCTGCCAGCAACGACGTCATCCACATAATATAACCTCTCTCTCTTAGTGTCATGCCTAATTATCTCTTGGTCTAAATATCCTGAAGTAAACAAAAGAGTGGATACATAAGTACAACACAATGTAATTGCTCAGTAGCTGGCCCTAATAACCGGTGTAGTGGTGTCATTCGCCATTACTACACACTTTCGATAAGTCATTGTCATACAAGTAAACAAATTTTTATCAAAGGTCATATGGTCTGTTTCACCTTAGTCCAGAATCGAACATGTATTATGTTCAGTATTGGAGGCTAAAAGAACACACCCCATAATACTCGTATTGGACAGTGATTCACTAGGATTAGTCCTAGTCAACAAGCTTTGGCATAGATCTCCAGGGGTAGGCACAGCCTCCTTGGTACTAGGTGCGGCAGCGGCAATGGATGCACGGCTCCCACTTGCTCCATTAGCAGCTCACTCCTTTGCACATAACTTGTTCTTTAATTCAAGGAACCATTCAGGGACTCCATGCTTTTGAAAACAAGTATCCTCAGTATGAAAGGTTTGACCACAAAAGGTACACTTTAAATCATCTTTATTTTCCAGAGTAAAAGGACCGGAAGTTGTAGATGAAGGTAAGACATACGGTCAGCCAGCAAAGAGTGGTTGTGGCATCATGGCTACGGACGGTATCGAGATTCCTCCTTGGATGCCGACACTAGTTCTTTCCATCATGGTAGCATGACGTTGGGCTTCATGCCTAACAACAGAAAATACCCCATCAACAGATGGTAGGGGTTGAGTTCTTAAAATATCACCACGTACCTTATCAAATACGTCATCAAGTCCTGCCAGAAAGGCATAAACCCAGTCTAATTGGATCTCCTCTCAAAGCGTTTTCAAGTCAATAACACACCATATCTTAATCAGTCTTCTTTGATCAAGTTATTGCCATACTGCTTTAAGATCGACATAGTACACGCCAATAGGACACCCTTCCTGACAAAGTCGAAACAACTTTACCTTCAACTCATAAATCTGAAAAATATCATAACCATCATAATATGTCTGAGCAACTTCTTCCTATACTTCTTTAACGGTACGAAGATTGATGAAAAAACCCATGATGGTAGGATCCATGGAATTAATCAACCACCCTTTCACAATTGCACTCCCAATTTCTCAAGTTTCATACTCGGCACTTTCTTCCTTGGGTTCCTTGATACTCCCTTTCACGAACGCTTTCTTACCACACCTAGTGATATGCATCTCCAACACTTTGGACCCAAGAGGATAATTTGATCCATTGAGTTTTACGGTATTCGGTATGTTTGAAGCATTATTCTGTATCACTTCAAGGCTCACAACTAAATTGTTGGTGGTTGTACGTGAACCACCCTCCAACTTCAGCCGTGAGTTTTCTTCAATAGTAGCCATCGCGACAGCACACACAAGTAGTAAAAAACACAACTGCAATCTCAACTTGCTACAGGGATGCAGCAAAAAACACAAGACTTGCTGATTTTTGCATGACAGCAGTAGCACAGTGGGAATTTTTTTCCTAGGGTTACAACTCGGCTCGGATGCCAAATAGAAATATACCACTTAATTTTCATGTATTCCATAATTCTGAATATAAGTACAGACAATCCTTATTCCATAAGGAAACAATAAAGGACACAAATATATCCTTCCTAAAACATGATTCTAATATTTACACAATATTTACATTCATTTTCTCCTAAATATTGACTCACGCCAATAGAACCCACTTCACATTGAACTTCAATGATCCGAATTGTCTATTTTGTAAGCTTCGGTTCATAGATCATCCTTGCAAAAATTCAACTCAATCTGGAACCATTTGACCATTTAATTATCACGATGAAATTTCAATGTTTATTAGAAAATAATGTTTGTCAATTTCTTTGAACTCAAATATTTCCGATTTGGTTAATATTTTGCAAGGATAATCTATGAGATACAACTTAAAAAATAGATAGTTTGGATCATTGAAGTTCAATATGATTTGGGCCCCACAACTAATCCTCATTTTTTGAAAAGGAAAAAAAAAAAAATTGGGATCCATTCCCTTAAAGGCAGGCTCTCTATGAAGGAAACTCATCAATTTCAATCCTTCTCAAGATGGTCGGATTAGAAGGGATGAGTTTTCTTCCAATCTAATCCCCTCAAAATGAAAAAAGTCATGAAAACTCACCTCTTCTAATCCTACCATCTTGAAAATGATTGAAATTTATAAGTTTTCTTCGTAGAAAGGGGATTGTAGTATTACAATCCCACAATGCCCTCCAAACATTTATGTTATTGTTAGCCCTCTTCTCTTCTCTGAGTACTCTTTTCACTTTTTTTCTCTAAGCACAACGCTCACCTGGCTAGCACAAGCACCACAATAATGAAAACCATAATCCACCCACGCCACATTTTAAAGCCAATTTCAATAGGCCCAATGTAAATATTACAATAGGCACAATACAATTGAGAGTAGGCGGAGTTTCTATTTGATTCACGATCCTTCAACAGAATCAACGGCTGCCGTCGATTAATAAGAATCCAACGCACCTAAGAACACAAACAAAATTGGATACCACCAAACTAAAACTGGTCAATGCAACACGTGATAATTCCTCTCGGTCGCCCTCAACCGTATATATATAACACACAAACCACAAGAGATAACAAAAGCCCACCTCTTCTGAGCCACACTGCCTCTGCGTTGAAACCCTAATTCCCCAAATCTTCTACCTCGCAAACCTCTTCGTTTTCTCCACTCAGAAAGCATCGATCTCGATTGGATTTCAGGTACGAGCATTCATCTTCGATTGTATTTTTCGTTTGATTTTTAATATTTTTTTTATATATTTTATTTACGATTCCAAGTGTATTGCATCTTATTTATTTTCGATTGTTCATATATTTAAGAAATCTCAGTTATTTGTGTTTTAGGGTTAGTGGAAAGATATTGGATTGATTGATATTTTTGTATTGGATTATGGATATTTACTTCAAAGTTGATTATATAAACCGTAAGCTCCCAAGCAGTGGGAGGAGCCCAGGGCTCTGACCGCGTGCCTGTTGAAGAATGAGCCGGCGACTCATAGGCAGTGGCTTGGTTAAGGGAACCCACCGGAGTCTTCATAGGGCAATTGTCACTGCTTATGGATCCGAACCTGGGTGATCTATCCATGACCAGGATGAAGCTTGGGTGAAACTAAGTGGAGGTCCGAACCGTCTGATGATACTTACCCGATGATACTTTTGGGTGTTCGTATAAAGTTTGTTGCTTTGAAGTATACGTATAGAGTACTGTCTCTTGTATATGATTCGTATAATCGTGCGCCAATCCGATTGTAGGTCTTTCAACATGTGAGAATTGCTCTAAGAGTGCATTACTTAGTGTAGCTATACCCAACTAAAGTGCTATTTTTTATATCTTCTGCAAACAGTGAGTTGACAATCAAAGTGATTGAGAAACTTTGGTGGATTTATCAATATTAATTTCAAATTTTCGTATAAAGTTTGTTACTTTGAAGTAGATGCATAAAGTATATTCTCTTACATATTTGAACAACTCTCAACGTGTGAAAGTTGCAAGAGCGCATTACTCTGCATAGTTATTTGGTTATACCAAACCGATGAACATTTTTATATATTTTTGTGAACAGTGAGTTGACAATTGGAGTGATTGACAAAGTTTGGTGAACTGAATGGTTTATTTTATTCTTTGTAATTGTTTATGATCTCTATTGGCATAAATCATCAAGTCATGTTGTTTGAGATGTGGAAAATTATGTGACATGCTGACAATGACACTCTTAAATCTTTAGCATTTTAATTTTCAGTATTCTTGATTCAGGAACACTGCACATTATCTGCTACTTTCAGATTTTCAAGGAAGTTCAACGGTGAAGCTTCTTTTATGTCCGAGAAGGCCATTTTCCATTTGGGATCAATTGGGTTGCTTGGAGAGTACTGTCCTTGGTCAAGGAAGAAGAACAGACCCTTGTTAAAAGAAAATAGCTGTATGCATCAGTTGCCATATCAGGAATATTCTGAGTTTCATGGTTGCTACTGGGTGCAGCCTTCCATAACTGCAGAACATCAATCTTCTCTCGAGTTAGGGGACGATATCGCAGCTGTGTACACTTTGACTTCCGGCATTTCCTTCTCAAGATACCTTTGATATTTGCTTTCTGATTTCTTTGTTCAAGACAAGATGGCTTTACTGAACATTGGTGCTGGGAACAGCGACGATGCCTTCTACAGGTATAAGATGCCCAGGATGGTTACCAAAATTGAGGGCCGTGGAAATGGCATCAAGACAAATATAGTCAACATGGTGGACATCGCAAAGGCGTTGGCAAGGCCCCCTGCATACACTACGAAGTATTTTGGTTGTGAACTTGGAGCCCAATCCAAATTTGATGAGAAAACTGGGACTTCTATTGTTAATGGGTCCCATGACACTGCTAAGCTAGCTGGCCTTCTTGAAAATTTTATTAAGAAATACGTCCAGTGTTATGGATGTGGCAATCCAGAAACTGAGATATTGATTACAAAGACTCAAATGATTCAACTGAAATGTGCTGCGTGTGGTTTTGTGTCTGATGTCGACATGAGAGACAAGCTCACTACCTTCATTATTAAGAACCCACCCGAGCAGAAAAAGGGATCCAAAGATAAGAAAGCAATGAGGAGGGCTGAAAAGGAACGGTTGAAAGAAGGTGAAGCTGCGGATGAGGAGCTGAAGAAACAAAAGAAAGAGGCGAAGAAGAAGGGCACTTCCTCCTCTGCTAAGGAGGGCCCTGTGAAAGCCAGCTCTTCGAAAAAGAAAACAAGTGGATCTGATGAGGACCGCACATCACCTACTCACAGCCAGGTTGATGAGGAGGAGGCCAATGATGTTGGTGATGATGACGATGATGTTCAGTGGCAAACTGATACATCACTAGAGGCAGCTCGTCAACGGATTCAAGAACAATTGAGTGCTGCGACAGCTGATATGGTAATGCTTTCAACCAATGAACCAGAGATGCCCAAGGAAGCAACAAAGGCTGTGGAGAATGGAAACTCCACTGCTCGAGTAACACTTACTGATGAGTTGAAAAAGAATCTAGATAAAGGTATCTCAGCCAAACAGTTACAATCCCTTCTGCCGTCACTTTCTGGGTCTGCTAAGGAAAAGATGACTGCTCTTTTTGAAGCGCTATTTGGGGGCATAGAGAAAGGGTTTGCAAAGGAGGTGTCGAAGAAGATAAAGTACCTTGCTGTAGCTGCTGCACAGGATGAGGGATCTCAGTTGCTCGTGCTTCAAGCAATTGAAGGCTTCTGTGGGAAGTCAAGCTCAAGTGCATTGAAGGAGGTTGCCCTGGTTTTAAAAGCTCTCTACGATGCTGATATCTTGGAGGAAGAAACTATAGTGCAGTGGTATCAAGATGGACTGAAGGGAGCCAGCAAGGGCTCTCAGATTTGGAAGAACACTAAACCCTTCATTGACTGGCTCCAGAGCGCTGAGTCTGAAACTGAGGAGGAATAAGGTTTTTTACTTTTTATTTATTTTCATCATCGCATGTGTTGTTTGTTCGTTGTTTGGTTTGCTGCCGTTGCCAACATCATGCCATCCGCAGAAGGGAATAAACGGGTTTTCTGAGGCCTCTCGCGTAGTCCACTAGTGTCAAGATTTTCTACTTTGTCCTGCATTACCTAGAAATGTCTGTATCTGTGTGTTATCTGGGATTGGTTTTAGCATCTGGATGTTGAGTATTATTTTCGGCATATTTTTGCCCCTGGATAGTTTCAAAATTTTAAAGGATATTGTTTGTTTTACTATCTAAATTTCCATTTACTGATGAGATGATTGTGCCTTGCGATCCTTAATTGATCTGATGTGATGTGCTGCTGCGTATGTTGTTATTTCCAGGATGTTTCATTAACTTCAATCCCTCATCCGAGCCGGCTATTCTATACCTATGCTTCGGTTGTTCTTACAACATTTTCACCTTTAAGGGACAAAGATGCGTGCAGTAAAAAGCTATTGGCTATCTCTAGTCACGGGCTATGGGCTACTTGTAGCTCTCGAGCTGACTATATTTAGCCACTGTGCAGACGCGGACACGGATTGAGAGACACGGCAACGCTGTAAATCTTATAAATAAATAGAAAAAATAAGAACACAGACAGATAGAACGTTACGATTAAAATATAATAATTTATAACAAATATTACTTATACTTCGAATTCATAATATAACAAAGAATTCGTGCTTATCAAATTCTTTTGCCGTTCATAATAATTAAATCACAAATATAATAATTAATATAACACAAGATTCAAGTCTCAATGATCTTCAAGTCTCTATTTCTTCCTGAACTCCATTGTCGTCATCAGTCAAGATCACGGCCTCTAATTGGAGAGAAAGAAGACTGAAGATGAGGTTGGCAAACTTTTAGGTTTTAGAAGTTTCAATATTTACAAAATTGCCGCAAAATGTGTTCTATATTTACAAAGCAGTAGCTGTGTCTTAACTGTGTTTAAACCATTTTCGAGGCATATCTGAGATGTATCAGCGTGTTCGAATGCCCAACACTTTGACACTCCGAGATTTCAGAATGCCCGTGGAACATAGCATTGATCCCTCCAACAAGTTTTTTGTATACCCCGCTTTTGTTTCATAGCCTTTTCTCTCTAAACGCAATAAAGTATTAGTGTGCAGCTTGTATCGTTGGAGATTGAAAAAATATAGTCGAGACTACGCATTAAAATACAATATTCTAGAGAGTTAAATTATTAGTTTTTTTTCTTTTTTTTTTTTTTTAAAGGAATGGAGGGTTAAAATATAAGAAAAACTAATGAAAATGATTTGAAAATTTAGTTTTAATCAAAATGACAACAAGGTGTTGTAAGTGAATAGTACTAGAAGTGATTTTTTGAAGTAAAAATGTCATTTTCGTTAAAAGTGAAGAGTACCGGAAATGTTTCATTAAAACTCCCTAAAATATAACCCACCACTTTTGTCTCTCCACTACTAGAGATGGCCTTTTATATGAGCATTGGCATAAGAAACAACAAAAACCATAAATAAACTGACACAAACAGCCAAACCACAGTCAGCCAAGTTGGCTAGAACAATATTCTCTATACCCAAGTTTAAATCTTCAACTCTGTAGTATAAGTTAAATTTAAATATTCCAATGCTAATGGGGTTTGGATTGGCCTTTGGTCGGCCAATTTCCAAATCATTTGGTTTCATTTCATTGCATAGAACAGCATTCGCCTCCACAAGCTTATGAGAAAATAGCAATTTACACCTTTTTTTGGGGTAATTTGTATATTAACAGTGAAAGCAGGTGAGAGAAGGATGAGGTAGAAACTGAGTTGCATGAAGCATGTTTTGTTGCTTGCACTGCCAAGTGCAAACTGCTCTTCTTCATAGGAATCATTGATTCATGTTCTGGGTCCCCTTTTTGGATACGGAAATACATCGAATTACAGTATTAACATTTACATGTGCATTTAAAGTATAGGTTCCTAGTTTTCGTATGAAAGTACTTGAAAATAAAAAGGCTCATACCCAATGCTGTCATATACACAGGTTTCCGAATCACGGCAAGGAAAGGGTTTGCGTATGCTTCTAGCACATTGTCCTGAACTGACGATGTAAGAACATTGCCTTCGGCCACAACTTTCATCTGCATTACAAACAACTGGAGATCTTGGTTCTCGAGCCCTTTTTCGGGATGTTGCAGCAATAGTAAATGATTCTCCGGCCAAGACTAGTGGCTGAATCAGTTATCGAATTTGAATAAAACGTGATGGATATGCAAAGTCATTCTCTTCGTCTGATGTGGCAAGGGAAATCTGAGGATCCTAATGCATAGACACATGAAACAGAACAAGTTCTACTGTTTCAGTAAGAGCAAAAGCAAGGCATTCGCAGCTCAACTATGTACCTAATACATGGTCAATGAATTTCTTATATGCCTGACCTGTTGATGCCGCCGACGTTGGATAACAGTGAATACTTTAACCATGATATAGATTGGAAAAAGAATTCCAATCGTTCTCAACACCATTAACTACAGCATAATGAAAATATTAGTACGTTCTTTTTACATTTGCCTGAAGAGCATTTCATCCTTTAAATAAAAAATGGGGTTAGCAAAACTCACTGTGAATAACGTCAATGAGTACTCTCCTGCTCCACTTATTAAGATTGGAAGAGTATGGCGTAAAACCAGAAGAACCATGAACTGAAAACAAACAAAAAATGCTGTAAAATATGACTCAAGTAGTAAAGTCCACAAGACCAATTAATTCTTGCTAGACAGAATTGACATATTCAAAAACATGTGTATTCAATTTCATTTATAACTTTAAAACAGAATAATTTCCCCATAGGTTGAAAAAATTCAACAATTAAACCACTTCATCATGTGAACATCTGCATGTTACTAGGTTTTGTAGTTCTTGCTTTTCTTACGTCGCCCCTTCTTCCAGTTCTTTCTCTGCCATTATGGCATTTTTTTTCTTGTTAAAACTCTTGCTTAATGGCTATTCACAAGTCTCCACTTGTTGTGTGTGTGTGTGTGTGTGTGTGTGTGTGTGTGAGAGAGAGAGAGAGAGTACGATGATAGCAACTATACGACAGCATATCAAGCTTCTTGAAGAAGGAGCTGAGTATTCATCAGCAAAGTCCGTATTCAGGTATCCGTTATCAGTAGTAACCATTGCTATAAATCCAGGATTGTGCAGGTCCCTTCTGGAAATCTCCCAGTTCCCCCTAACATGGTAACACCAAATTGAGTATATAATGTTTTTGGTTCTGAAAAGTGAAATTAGATCTTTTGTTGAAAACAGAAAACCATGAGAATATGGATAGGTAGATAGTACCGGAAGTTCATTGGGATACCACTATAATGATATAGAGGAGGCGGTGCTGTATAATCTGGCTTGAATTGCTGCAATTTCACATTCAACAGGGAAAATGAAAATTCTTAATTCTCCCAAATTAATAATGATCATAAAACACAACTAAAGTTAGAAACATGTTCTGTAAAGGAATGGCATACCTGGTGGCAAATTTCACAAATTGTATCACCCTTCTCGTTGCACCACTTCTGAACACATTTGCGGTGAGCGTACTACAAATATGTGAAGATTAAATAAATAAATAACTCCATTCTAAAGCCAGTGGAATTACTTGACATGGACAGAAAGCAGGGGACAGAGAAAGGGAAAGCCAAAGACAATGGCTGTTGTTGTTGTCGTCTTATTTTGCAAAAGAAGCAACATTTTACTGCAGAAGACAATAAAAATACACAAAGTGCACAAGAAGTAAACAAAAACTCAAAATCAAACAATGAAACAAACAGAAAACCCAACAAGCTAAGATATCTCGAAGAGCTAACTAATAGCAGCTTTCCAATCAAGCCAAATATACGAAAGGGACAAATTTTAAAATCTGACAACACCGAAGCCCATAGTGAAGACCAGAAACAAACTTTCTCCCACAAATCCCCACCGCTGCTACCTACACAATCCTCAAAGGTATGATCCTGTTCCTTCTGTCCAGGTTACTCATTACACAGCCAAAACTATACATCCCCCTTAAGTCTTAGCGTTCTTCCCCTTCCCTGATAACTTATGCTCCTCTGACAAAGACAATAGTTGTTTTTGCCATATGATACGTAATTGTACCATATGGAATGAATAAATAAGCTACTAAGACAACTTGACATGATCATCGGTAACAAAGTCAGGGACTGATGGCCACAATTAGGAGTCTAGATTTGGTCTACAGTCTTTACTTACGCAAAAAACTTGCAACCTTCTGTGATCTGGAGTAAACATATTATTGAGAAATGTATCCAACGGTTTTAAGATTCTAACTATACTACAACATCCATAAGGAATGATATAGCCAATTGTTCCATTCAACTCATAGAAACATCACTTTCTCAAAAATTTCCATTTCCCATTTTCTGTGTTCCCAACTTCTAATTTTGTAACATTAACCATAATTTAAGACAGGTATTTGTAGTGAGGGAACTGTAATTCTGAAGTAGGAGCACAACTAATGAATTTTGGCATACAACATCGACATCATCAATAAAGCAGGACATAGGTATTTCAGTTTTGAAGCATTGGATGCAATAGAAAGGAATATTTATGAGTTTGATTGAACTGAAAACATAAGACTACAGTCATTCCCAAACGAAACTTACAGACGCACTGAAAAAGATGACACAAGACTGAAACTTTGAACATCAAATAGCAGAAGTTTCAAAGAGAAAAGACAATGCACAAACTAAAGTGCAGCGTACCTTCAAGCTGCCACAGCAAGAACATGGTGCTTCCATGTTTGAATCATCGTCCTCATCGTGGCAAATCCTACACTGTACAAATTTACTAGGAGATGACAGGGTATTCATATCTATTTGATGGGAAGATTCCATGATATCTTGGATTGTTGTGGGTGTTGGGTGCTGCAACTGATATGTGCTCTCTATAACAGCTTCGAGGGTAGATTCAGTGATCAACCGATCCACGAACAACACAAAATGATCCCCCATCCTTTAAATGATAAAAAAGAAAAGTTCAGTTAAAAATCTTCTACGCAGCCTAACTTGGATTTCAAATTTAATCTCCACCGAATAATAGCAACTAAAATACACCATAACATTGCATAATTTCAAAATGACAACCACTCAAAAGATCCATTAACGAAGTATATGAATCAAACATTGTCAAAAAATGGTGAAATTGAAAAGCCAAATGTTCTGTTCTAATTGACAGCACAAATTAGGACATCAAGGGTCACCAAAACAATCAACCTTAAAGTTCATACAATTAGGTCATTTAATAAATTAATCTACAAGGGTCACCAAAACAATCAACCTTAAAATTGTCAAGGTACAACAACTAAGAACCAACAAAGGTTTGTGAACATCACCTGTACCTCAGTCAAACGGATGTACGCATCACAATAAAAATGAACCCTATTCATCAAAAGAAAAGATGTGAGACATATATAATTGTGGGACAATAATGAAACCCTAACAATCTTCTAAATTCTCGAAAGAAGGCAAATTTCTTACATTACAAAGTAAAACAAGATCTAACAGAAAAACCCAAATTCCTATTTTCCTCCATTTCACTCAATTTTTCTCACGAATGAAAGGGATGTTCTGGAAACATTGAGCAGCAATTAACTTAGTACAATGAAATCTAAATATCAATGCAACAGATATTATCCATACATTTTCAAAACAAATAAAAGTGGTGAGAAGAAGAATCCCAAAAAAGGAGGCGTGGGCAAAAGAACAAGCACTCAAGCTGCATCAAGATCAATAAAGGATCATCAGGCAGGAGAGGGAAAAAAAAGGTAAATAGGGGAGAAAAAGTTAAGCAAAAAAACACAAAAGGGGGAAAATATCAAAAGTGAATGTACCTTTTTGTGAAAAATTAGAAGCAGAAAATGCAACTCTAGCAACTTTTACAGAATATTAGTTAAAAACAAAGAATTAACAGCATTGAAATGGCACAAAGAAAACCCAAATTTGAAAATGCAAAGCTAAAATCATCCAATGAAAAAAGATTAGTTCTTTTGATAATATGGAAAACAAAAAAGAACCCAGAATCCAAAAACTCCAAAGAATTGCCCCAAATCAAAATACGCCAGAAATGCCAATGAGAGAGAGAGAGAGAGAGAATGACGCTGCCCAGATGAATTAATGAAGCTGATGAATGGAAAGTGGGAAAGATTAAATCATAGAGAGAGAGGGAGACTTACAGGAATGGGAATGGGATTCTCTGCAATGGAAGAAAGGAAGAAAGCAGCAATCTTTTTGCTTGAAACGACGGAAGCAAGAGATGGAGTGTTGTCGTTGCACACACTATTACTACAAATTTACAGAAACAATGGAGTGCTGTGAATTCATAATATTAACAGAAAAGAAAACCCATCAGAAAGAAAGCAACCATTTTTACAGTTTGGGTGGGAGAGAAGGAGGAGGAGAAAAGAGAGGAAGCATTTTATCGAGGGAAAGGTGAAAAGGGTAAGGGGGATTCTAACCGCAAATAACCCACGTCGCCCAACCAATCGACATCCTCTTTCCTTGTTTCGCCGCTTTCCCCGTTTTTCTTTTTACTCTTTTGACATTCAATTTCCCTCCATATTTTTACGCCGCTTTGCTCGATTTACCGTGACTTCGGTTGGGTCAAGTCAAGTGGGAGTAGGAATTATCTAGTACGCGTTTTATTGTTACTCTGATGTTTTGTTCTAATCAAATAATAGAGGTCTTAAATTCAATGCAAGGCTAGGATCTGCTAATTTATTGTAAGGTTTATGGCTGGTTTAGTATTGTTGTGCTTTGAAAAAAAATTATTTTTATTGTGCTGTGAGAATAAGCAGCTGTGAAATAAAGCAGCAAAGTGTTTGGTAAACTTTTTTGTAAAAATGCTTTTAAAAATAAAAAAACATTATTATAGTGTTTAATAAACTTTTATGTAAAACAGATGTGAAAAAAAACCTGTTTTTCAAAGCTGGGTTTTGCAGCTTCTTGTTTTTGGCTTTTTTCCACCCAAAACTGTGAAAAAAAAAGCTGAAGTTGAATGTTTACCAAACACAAAAACAGCTCTCAGCTTTTTTTTATACCAGCTTTTTTCATAATCACCTCAGTATCAAACCAGGCTTTAATCCATTCTTTCATCCTTTTAGTGTAGATAATATAGAAAAAATAATAGCAAATCTTAGATTCGATTTATGGCACTAGTAAACCACACGATAGTAGCCCTGAAATGCCCCAAAAAAATAAACTACCGTGAAGAAATCACCAACTAGTTTCCAGTCCCCTTTTTATCGTCTAATTAATAATAAAGTTAAATACGAATAATTACTGATTTACTAATTAGTTATATATCAAAGGGTCAATTACTAATGTTGTGCAGATGAAGATTTCTACCAATAAGGGGATTCAAGGGAATAATCAACGGTACTTACACGTTGGGCCAATCCTAATTGATAAAAAATAAATAAATAAATAAATAAAAAGAAGGAAGAAGGTTTCATGTCATGTCGAATCTTTTATATCTGCAATACTTAGTTTCCTCATTAAATATTTAAACTCAGCATATCCAATTTCATAAGACCCTAATAACTTTACACATTCAATCTTTCATAAATAATATTCAAACTCAATTAGATACAAAACACCAAAAAAAATTGAGATTGGTTTCGAAAATTGAGATCCCCTTCTTTTTTAGAGCGTGAACCATTTTATCCTATGAAATTTTTTGACGCCGGTGAAAACTTCGAAGTGTCCCTCTCTCTTTTTCATTCGTGAAAAGGAAAAAAACAAAAACTCAGGAGAGGATGGGAGTGAATGATCGAGAGAGACAAAGAGAGGAAGGGGATGTGAAGGAGAGAGACAGTAGGGGAAGAAGAAATAAGGTTTCACACGAGAAATTTTTTTTAAATTTGATCATTTTGCATATTTATTGTGTTTCCGTGTAACAAAGATTATTTAAATTGATAACTTAATCTATTGTAAAATTAACCTGAAGGATCATGTAAAAAAGATCTCACAGATCCTCAAAATAAAGAAGGACCGTAGGAGAGAAGCTCAACTCTGGTGGGCACTATAAATAATAAAAACTCAGGGTTATTATAGAAAAGTCCAATTGAAGAAATAAATATACAAAATCCCTATCAGTCAAATTGTATATTTACAGTTACAAAGCTAATTGCTATAACCATATCAACCAAAATGATGAACGGTAGACAGAGCCCCATTAGCCACCTCCATGAACCGTAGCAAGATCATGGCCGTCGATGCCGGGACGCTGACGGCGACGAGAAGTAGCACGGAAAGGGCTACACTAGGCCTGGTGTTCATGAGACACGACTGAAGACAACCCACCATGTTACAAACATAGTCATCATAACTTGCGTAACACTGCTTCTCCCAATGCATCCATTCCTGGGGAGGCTCGTAGTTCCTCTCCACCATTTTCATCTCGTGAATGCGTTTTCTCAGAACGATCAAGCTCTCATCGACCACGGATCGCGATGGCCCTTCGCGGTTGTCCCTCGCAGCTGCTACAACGACAAGCCCGGTAGTGCCGGTACTAGCACTTGATGATCTCCTTGGCATTGTTCTCCTGTGCAGTAATCCAGTTCTTGTGCACTGAGATTTGCCTGCAGGCAAAAATGGCAAGCGAAGAAGTGAGGAGGAACGTAGACAAGTTGCTTCCATGTCCGAGTGAAAGAAAATGAAATTAAAATTGGATGCGAATGCGATGAACCAATTCGATGTTGAGAATTGACTATTGGTCCTGTCTGTATTTATAGGTGCAAACTTAGGGAATGGTTTGAGCTCGAAACGTAGTACATGGGAAGTTGACACGTGTTTTTTTCCGCGTTTTTCAATTTTGGATCAGAAATTATGGCACCACGTGTCGATACATGGACAGTTCCTTGTGAATTGGGAAGGGAAGCCGACCACATGATGGGTCGGCACTTAAATATACTTGTTTTTGGGTTGACGGAGCTTAAGATTAATTCATACGAATTGAAGTTTGAAGCGTACGTACATTCCAAGATTTGCAAGCATTATAATATATAGGCCGTATTGTATCATTTATGGGAGCCATGTGTATTCCTATAAAAATAATATATTTGATATTTGGAGATGAGGATTTGAGCATAGTACTGGATAAATTCTCTTAAGCACTCAAGTTTACGAGTTACCACATTTGGTAACTAATGTTCCATACAACAAAAATAGGTGCCATTCTAAAAAAATATGGGATGAGACGAGAAATTTGAAGTGTCAAGCATGTGTGAATAGAAACAACCTAAGATTAAAGCCATGTGGTTAGTGCATATGATGACAGAAGGAACGTACGATAATGAATTAGGATTACAATAAATTTATAACTATAACATAACAAAAGAGAAAAGTCTGTGACTACTTGTACCCACTAGTAAATAGTTTACAGTTCCATGTGGAAAGAAAAAAGTAAGCGATTTCCACGCACTTTTTCATCCATCCACAATTTACGTCCTTTAGATTGTACAAAGCAAAGAAAAATCAAGAAACAGTTTTAAACATAGGTGTGCAGAAGGAGAAGCAAGGTATGCAAAAATCATTTACCAAGAGGAGTAATGAGAAATTTGAATTCAATTTGTATTGTATATAATTTGGGCAGCATGACCAATTATCCCAAGGAATACATATCATATCAGGGGGCGAACCTTAGCACAACGAAAATGTTGCTCCTTAATGACCAAAAGGTCACAAGTTCGAGTCATGGAAACAACCTCTTTGCAAAGCAAGGGTAAGGCCATACGAAGGACATTCCTCCCCCGACCCTCGCAAAGCGGGGTGCCTTGTTGGCTTAGGGTCGCCCTTTAATACATATCATATCAGTGTATGCTATCACTTCATTGCCATTTATAAACAATTCCAACATTTCATTACTTTGTACACAATTGATCACAATATTGAAGAACGATTAGAGTTTTGGCCTAGAAACAATTCGAATCTTCAATCTGATATGGTTGAATATAAAGAAGAAAAAAGAATATGAAATACACCATTTTTTCAGTATAAAAATGATGAAGAGAATTCATACTAGCAAACAATCGAATATCCAGGTGACGTTGATCATGTGATGTTGCAGAGGACAGAAAAACATCAGTCATCGTAGGACGAGTGAGGAGCAGCAGTGCATCCAGGGTCAAAGGGATCTTCAGACCCACAGCAATGCCAGTATTGAACAACTTTGCCAGAGTCAGGAGTATTCATGGTCCCCCCAGTGTGTACACTCTCAAACTTCCTCTTCGTTTCGCCTGTTTGATTGCAGATGTTACAAGTATGACCCGAATTGAAGTTGCGTTAAAACCAAAGTATGTTACACAAAATCGAAGAAGTGATGACGATAAAATGAAACTAAATTTACAAACTTTACCAATCATTCTCACCCAAAACAGGACATTATTACTGTCAAGGTATTTATTTAGTGAACAAATTGAACACCATCGCGATTTGTTCAAATTTGACCTGGCACTCTTTGTATTAACTTGAACGTGAACAACCCTATGCAATTTCATTAAGTACTCGTGGAAAACCTAGGATGTCTTAAAATGCACATGGGCTTGATCCCATAGCTCTTTCCCTGAACAATTGCAATAACTTAAATACTAAAGCAAACTAACAACTAGGAAGCTAAAAACGACTCCAAACTTAGCCTTTCACAATGGACTAGTAATTACATCTTTTGGCATCAACGCAGTATAAAGTAAGTTGTCTATCCTGTTTAAATTACGGTTCTTTAGTTGCAACTGATATACGATTGCACAGAGTAAATTCTGAACAAGAGGAATGCTAACGGACTTGCTGCCTCCTCAGGGTTTTGGATCAAGAATTAAGCTTGACCCACTTTACAGGAAGTCCACCCAGGGACTCTCTTTTGAGCAAGTGCTGTAAGCATTTCTCTTTGAGCAATATGCAGACAGTACTGAAACCTCTTCAGTTCTGTCGGAATCTGAAGTTCAAGCCAACAACCAAAACCTAACTTGAATTGCTTTTGATATGAACTCATATTGTACTCTCATGAACAATCTTTTAGAGGTGGAAGAACTACCGATTCATGGAAAAGATAAAAAAGAATACATCAACAGAGCCTAAAGCACTTTAATTTGCTAAACTCTTCAGTCAGTCACATTGAGCAACATCTTAAGTACAGACAAGACATTGAGATTCTTTGTTCGTGCATTCAACCGCCTTTTGCTAACCAACTTTAACTCAACCATTATCTCATACTTGTGGGTTCAGCAGAACCTATTCGTAAATGTTTCAGAGTCTTGTATTCTCTTCCAACTATCCATTTCCACCCACACAAAGACGCGACGCCTTCTTGCAAATAGATCATGCTTAAGAATTTCCAATGGCTCGAAACATTTATGAATAGATGCCATTTCGTATCCATCTTATAGCAAAACGAACGAAAAAAGGACTCTGATTATTAAGCCCAATAGCCGGGCAGGTTAACTTATTGAGGAAGATCCATTATAAATTGCTTATGACTGCAAATTCAGTAATGCATTCATCAACAGTTTCATACCTCACAAAACTGCCCAGCTGCTAATGCATAATCACAAATTCAACAAGGAATTCACAACAAGTTCGATTCGAAAGCTGGTATGGTTTCAAAATAAAACTACAATCTGTGTGTAAATAAATTTAATTCAACAAGAAGATACAAAAATCCAGCTTAGATTCGTAATATCCCTCGTAAATTGTGATAAAATCCAAGTAAAATTATTTAGGAAAGAAGATAATGGGAGAAATAAGCAGGTACCTCCGAAATGAGCGGTGTGAAAGCGGCAAGCCCGGGGGTTATTGAGGGAGGGGTCGAACTGGGTTTTGCAATTCTTGCAGGTCCTGAAGGTTATTTGGTTGCTGGGTTCTGCCGCAGAGCATCGAAAGGCGGCGAATTTCAATGTGGGTTTCGGCTTCCGATGAAGAGGAAGCAAATAACCCGGTGACTGAGGAAAACCATAACCCAAACCCAGCAGAGCCATCACAAAGCTCACAACCCACAAAACAAAACTAGCTGGTGTCTCGACTTCAAGAATCGTTAATAAACGGTCCGGGGTAGAACCGGGCATTTCATCCGTGTGAATGACAATTCTTACTGTTAAATTCGATAACAATGGATAATAGTCTGAATTGAATAGATTTGGGTATGAACTTTCGGGCATATTCTGTATAGGAGAAAATCGTGAAGACTTTACATTTTTTATTACACCTCACATACTTAATAGACTTTACATTTACCTTTTAAATTAAAAATTTTCTTAACACATCTCACGTATTTTCCAATACTACCCTCACACCTCACATCTCATACACCCCACACCTCATATCTCACACATCCCCACAATCATCAACTAATTAACTTCACATCAAACTCTTCATCTCTTTCAAATAAAAGAATAATCCACATTTTAAAGACAAGAAAGATGAATTAAATTGTGGTATAAAATCTCCATCTTGCCGTCTGATTTATAAACATCTGTCAAATTTTCTTGAACAATCATGTTGGATTTTAAGAAACCTGATGGACAAATGGTAGGAACTGTTCTTAAAAAGTCATGTCAGTTCCAACCAGCCAAAAAACATTGAATTTCTTATCATCAAATAGCCACAAGAATATTACATTTAATTACATCTTAAAATTTTACAACATTCTCCAGTTTGCTTCCTGTTTCTTGTATTCCAATTAGAGCAGTGCTTTGCAAAAAGTCAAATTTTTATTCCATTATTTAAATAATTTCTTGAATGTGAAAACCAAAGAATGAACGAGAAGCAAAACTCGATATTTTATTCCGTTCATCAAAATATATTTTTTCATCAACATGTTTGTTTTTTTAGGGTTTTGTTCTACAATGGAGAGTAAGAGTAGTTATGAGGCTCGAATAGTCATTTCATATTAGAGTTACAAATTGTTTAGTATTATATTTTTAAGTGGGATGTATTCAACAACATGTGGGGTGTTAATAAAAAAACCGTTATTCGTTTATGGTTTTAGATATAATTATAAGGTTCTTGATCTATATTCGTACCAGAATTCGACCAAACAATATATAATATAATTTATATAGAGTATAATAGTATTATATAAAGGAAAAGGATCCTAGCCAGATCCTTTTCCTAGGGATCCTGCGATTGTGACTGTTCATCGTACATCATGCGGTTAGTTTTCATTAAGTTCTATTTATATTTAATTTTAAATTTTAAATTTTGAAATGATTTCTGACCGCATAATGTACGATGAACGATTACATAATAGTATTATATAAAGGAAAAGGATCCTAGCCGGATCATTTTCCTAGGGATCCTGCGATTGTGACCGTTCATCGTACATCATGCGGTCAGTTTTCGTTAAGTTCTATTTATATTTAATTTTAAATTTTAAATTTTGAAATGATTTCTGACCGCATAATGTACGATGAACGATTACGATTACAGGATCCCTAAGATCCTTAAGGATCATTTTCCTTATATATAAATATATATATATATATATGTACATTAATTATTCACCAAACCATTATTTTAAGAATACAAAAGTTGCATTGCTTGAGTTGCATTTTGTGAGAAAGTTCAAAAGTTTTGAATCAAAATCAATGAAAATTCAATGGTGTTTATGGCAGATATCAAAGAGTAGCCAACGTCATCAATGTTTTATATTTAATGCTTTAATTTTAGGATAATGCTAGGAAGACCAAAAATTTTAAACTAAATTTGAAAACCAAATGATGTAATTGTTGATAATTGGATTATTATTTGAGTGTTGATTACTGTGCTCATTTCCTATTGGTTACCCATTTTCTAGTTTGCAAATTTGGTTTAAAATTTTGGTCTTCCTAACATTACTTTTAATTTTAATACTTGACAAGATTCGTTCGTTGAATCATTTTATACATCAAATGTTTAATGACGAATATACTATTTGTTTATAAGAAAATTGATATAACCGTTAACCGACGATAAATCTATTATCCGGTGAGTATGGCTATAGATAATTCCCGATGGTTAATTTACGATTATAAATATGGTTAATTTTCATAGTTACGGGAATGAGTATAATATTTCCGTCCCCAAACCAAACTGCTACCATTCCTATTCGACTCGCTTTCTTAAGACGATATTTTGCATTACTCAAATATGTTAGATAGAATTAGAAACTGGTTGGGGAAAAAGATTTTTGGAAATTTGTGGAAAAAGTTAAGAAAGTAGAAATTTTCATAGCTGAGTAGTTCATGAATCAACGCATTTTGTGAGATTGTTGAAAAATTATCAGATATAACATGGTTGGGTTCACCTGTGTGTGTGTTTTTTTTTTTTTTTTTTTTTTTTTTACAAGACGATAAAAATATTCTTACATGATCAAACGATTTAGTTTTGCATTATTCATCTATTTTCTTTGTTTAAATAAAATCAAATCGGCCATTATAGTCAGCCGAATTGATGTCCCCTTTTATTAGTACTTGCATGTGACATCCGAATCAATTTTGGTTCGGTCTCTTAACATCAACATTCACAAGAATTCAAAACCACAAACCGAACAATTACGATCCGATTTAGTTTTCGACTATTTAACTATTGTTAAAATCAAACAATTAACTGCGGTTTATTCAGTGAGCAACGTTGGGAGATCAATTATTTGGATCAGAATTTGTAGATCATATGAGATTATTGTTAATTATTAAAATATTAAATATAGATTCACATGCTTATTTTCTATTAATAATACGTTACATGATTCACAAATTTAGTTTATGTAGTATTAGACCATCTCCAACCAAAAGAGGGTCAGATGACTCGTTTTAGACCTATAGCCTCCTAAGAAATTAATATTTTGATGAACAGTGCATGATCATATTTCTTACCATCTCCAACCGAGGGGCTAGAAAATCATAGGCCAAACATAGTCCTATGACAAAAAATCATCTCTAACCGAGAGGACCAAAGAGTCATATGACCAAACATAATTTATTATTTAAATTTAAAAATTACAACGCTTAAATTTAAAAGCTACAATAACTTAAATTTTAAAAGCTACAACTTAAATTTAATAACTACAAACTTAAATTTAAAAACTACAAATTAAATTTAAAAACTACAACAACTTAAATTTAAAATCGATAATCATCATCATCATCATCTGCCATTGTAGGATGATAGTCGGAGGTAAACAACTGTCGTCAGGCCATAATTTCCCTTTTCTTGCTATCAAAATAGGCCTTACTCATTAGAGTGTAATCTAAAGTGTTACTTTGCATATTCCTATTGTACATGTCTTCTTGTATTTGTTTGGCCCGTTCTTCATGCCAACTGTTCATTTCTTCTACATCAATGATATTTTGATCCACCATTAATCGCAAAGAGACCGTCATTTCCTGTTGAAAGGCGATCTTTTACCTTACCCTTTGCCTTCAATTTTTCGGTTTCAGTTTACTGTTATTAATTTCAACCGGTTTCGGTTTGTTAACGTCACTATTCGACACACACTTAAACGGTCCAGGTTCGACCTGAAAATACAGGGATATAACCAGGAACAGCAGGTAAAAGACTAAACTGCCCTCTTTTCTTCTGTAGGTACTTGTCGTTTGCAATCCCTAGGGTTCTAGGGTTCCCAATTTCAACTTTCGATTTGGTACCAAAATTCAGTTTTCGATTTGAATACTAAAATTGCGTTGAAATTGAGCTTTGCAGAATGGCGACGAATCGGAAGAGCAACGAAGACGACGAGCCAAACGGTGCTCCGGAGACCGACCGGTGGTACAGCCTAACCCTAGGTTCTTCCTTCGTGGACCACCGTCCCTCCCCCAAGTTCTGCACCTTACGCTGTAAGTTTTAGTACCTCAGTAGTTTACTATACTTTCTGTTTGTTTCCCGAGAAAATTGAGTAAAATTAAAGCTTTGGGAGTATACTAGTCTTGTGTGAAACTAGTTTTTTTTATTTTTTTTTATTTTTTTATTTGAAGCGATATTACTATTCTAAGCTGAATTCAAAAGACGGTAACCACCAGGGCAATCTACCACATGAGAAACTAGTTTGTTTGTTTACACTTTTGCACCATTCAAAACTTGTGAAGTTAGAAACTTCTGTTATCAGTGTGTTGTTCGTAAATTTGAGAGTTTTTGCTACCAATTGGATCCATTTTGTCAAAAAATTTTCGAAGTTTGGTGATATATTTTTATTTTTCAGATGAATTTAAACCGGCTTCAATTGACAAGAACCAACCAGGGTTGTTACACAAGAGCAAGGACAATAGAGTTGCATTAGAATTTCACAACAACCAATACGGAAAACCAAAAGTGACTTTTGAAGGTGTGAGTGAGGATCACAAGAAAGACGAAGCCGTTTTGTTCTTTGATGGTGAGGGTTTTCGGTTGGAGAGGTTGCACCGAGCAGTGAAGCGGTTGAGGCATGTCAGGCTGCCTGGTGAATCTGCAGCTCCAGTGGCCGCAGTCACGAGTACATCAGTTTCAGCGGTGGAATCTTATTCTCCACCAACCGGTGGCAAAGGACCAAAGCTTCAGTCGTTGAACAAGGACATTCTTCCTAATATGCCACCGGTAAGCTTCTTTGATTTTATGGTCGTCATATCTGTTGAATGATAAGAAGGGTGAAGTGTGGTCCATCTCAAAAAGGGGTAATTGTATATGCACTTGCATACGCATTGCATATCTAGGTGGACTTTGCAGAAGAGTATTGCATCTTGTGACTCAAGCTATGTAATCTGAATTCTCCCACATTGGAGTTAGATTTCACAGATTGAGTACAATTAAAGTCGAGGAGTCAGCAATATTGGGGATTTAAACCAATTTCGTGGAACTTGCTTCATTTAATATATAAATTTGAACACCAAGACTGGAATACTGAATATGAGAAATCTTTCTATGCTGGAACATGTGGCTTGTGTGCTAGTTCTTTGTTGCTTGTACCGACCAGTTGCAATCACGTTCTGGTGAACGGTAGTGGCAACACTGTGAACAATCATACCCCTCACTTCTATCATTGTGCAAAAATCATGGCGTCAAATGCAATCTTGCTTCTTTATTAAATAAATATTTTTGTATTTTATTTGATTTCGTACGGGGTTGAAATCATCTTCAGGATGTGCTAATTGCTATTATGTTATCTAGAGAAGATATTTCCTTTCGAACTACTTAACTTATAACCAATACTGTTTAATGCTGCAATCTTTTCCCTTGTGTTAAATTGAATTTGTGAAAACTGGATTTGTGGAATAGCAAGGGCATCTTTTTTTAGTACAAATTTCTTTCAGGAATTCCAGTAATTAAGTGATGGTTGAAACTAATTGCTTAAAATTTAATTGTACAGGTGGAGATGAAAGAAATTGATATCAACAGCTCAGCGAGCTTAGGTATATGATCTTAAACCCTACTGTTACGATGTTGAGTTGTTTGATGGAAATTTCGTTCTCTCCCATTATAGATACAATTGTGTAATGTTTGAGCTTCAGGACTACATTTCTTCATGTTCCAATTGATCATAATGTCTTAGTGATACTAGTTTTTCACAAAATAAAATGATAAATTAAGTAACAGGTCTATGATGATCATCAACTCTTTTATAACAATGAATTTGTTCTTATATGCTTAAACCTTTGTTGTGCAAAAAAACCAGGCATTTTTCGTTGGTATTTTGATGTTCTAACATTTTTTCTGAATTTCATTTTCATGGCTAAACAATTGTAATTACATTATGTTCCTTAGTAATTGCAGCTATATTACCGCCTAGCTTTTGGTTTTTTATCATGGTATTGATACATTTTACAATCTTCTTTCCAGACCCAGGGCCAAAACCTGAAACCGGTGAGGATTTAGACTGTCCGCCTTCCTTACCAAATCCACCAACTGCATCTCCTGATGCACAAAGAAGCGATGAAATGGAGGAAGAAGTGGATGTTGTCATTGATGATGATGACAATGAAGATGACGGTGATAATGATGATGATATATCTGAGAAGGGAAGATCTCCTGGAAAGGAATTTCACACCGGCATTGACATTAACTTACCTCATCCAGGAGATATGGATGATGAGATTGCTGATGCGGATATAAGTGATGATGTGATGTATAATGGCCCAAATGCTGCCAAAGCGCTCAGAGGTCAGGTTAATGCTGAGGTGGGAGAGAAGCACACTGATATGGATGATGAGGTTGTGGATGTTAGTGATGATGTGATGGATAACGGCCCAAATGCTGCAGAAGCCCTCAAAGCTCAGGTGAATGCCGAGGTGGGAGAGAAGCAGACTTATCTGGATGATGAGATTGTGGATGTAAGTGATGATGTGATGGATAATGGCCCAAATGCTGCTGAAGCCCTCAGAGCTCAGGTGAATGCCGAGGTGGGAGAGAAAGAGACGTCAAGCTCAAATGATACTAGTGGGAGTGAGAGTAGCAGTGGAAGCGGAAGCGGAAGTGGAAGCGAAAGTGAAAGCGAGAGTGAGAGTAGCAGCAGTGATAATGAAAGCAGTGAAGGTGGCGACTCAGTAAATTCTATCTAGGTAAATGAAAGAATACATTGCATAGAGGTTTCATAGCTAAGTAGTTAGTACATAACCTAGCCTAGCATTAATGCGATCATCCACAAACCAATGCTCCTCGGAAGTGCGGACCGCTAAACTCGAAAAAGTGATGTGAGGTGTAATTTAGTTGGCATGGTACTAGATCTTACAATTTGGTAGGAGATTAACCAAAATGTAGTAGGAAGTTATTATGTATAGTTGCACTACTATTTGTAAATTGTTATGTATACTGCACTATTTATGTATACTATTATGCAGGTGAAATTTATCTGTCCGACCTTTTAAATGTTTCTACTTCCTTTGGATTTGCTCAGGTCATATGAGCTGTGACAATTGTTTGCCTTCTGACTTGATTGAATTAAATTTAGAAGAATATATGCCATGGTTTAGTTGCTCACGAACTTATTGAAAATTTTGACAATTGATGCACGTACGGCCCATTCTTGAATGCTGATACAGGCAAAGCCCAATTCTTACTATTGAGAGCTCACAATGTATCAACGGTCATATTTTGCCCGCATGCACGCCCGATACTTGGCAAAAGTCGAGATTCTGTTACCCGGCGAAGTTGGAACAAGAACGCTGGTGAGCGAATTGGCAGAAGCACTCGGTGACTCAGCAAATTCACAAACCCAAACCTTAGAAAGCAAGCAGCCACGACCTCCGGTCTGCAAGTATCTCTGGTCCTCGCTGACTGAGCGAATTCATAAATAAGCGATGAATTCACATTGAATAACTGGAGCAGACATTCGGCAATAGGGATTTGGATAAACTTGGTGCATATTAAAAACGTCTTAGTTGCATTCAAACTATTTGCCCAATAACGGAACAGTTTTACACATTTTCCTTCATCTAATTTATGAGCACATAACAAAGTTAAACAGTAGGGCATCGGCAAAGATCGACTCCATGCTACAGAACTTAAATCGACTAGGATAAATCATGAACAAAATTAACACGATCATAGGTCAAACAATACATCAGTCGTGCAGTGTTCCCAGTATATCCTCATCCCGATATAGCTGGTACCTAAAACAGCAAAAAATAATAATTTAATGAGCATCTAATCGGACAAAGGAAGTGAATGTCGAAAGAAATAATGCAGAAGTAAATGTTCTCAAAACTGCATCTATTTCTCAATCCTGACTAATTTCACAAGTTCTTGTAACATATGTAACATGGCATGCATTCTCAAATGTTGTTCAGTGTCACGTACAGAAATCCAAAACTGGAAAATTTTCAGGCATCACGCTGAAAGCATTTAAAAGCCTATGCACAAAAACCTAACGACGAGATATACCAAATATACCTATGGAAAAGACATCCTGATAAAGGCCACGTGGGTACGACGGGGGCCTTACGCAAACTCACACTTGAGACTTGACAATTACTAACGTAACCTAAGGATAAGTTTAAGGGCCTTGCAGCAAATCTGATTAGCTAATTATTAAGAAAAAATTAGGAAAATTATAAGACTATAAGGTGATTATAACATTAGAGATATCATAATCACTAATTCGTCTGCACTAATCAAACTAAGCCAAGATTGGCTCTAACTTGCCTGAGAAGTACTAAACAAGCTGCCATGCCATACAACAATCTCGGCTCAAGTTACCTAAATTTCTCAGTTAAAAACTTAAATCCTTCTCTGGACTAGAATGAATCTGAGAATTATAAGGCAAAAACACATGCTAACTAAAGCACACCTCTGCTTTACAGCAAAGATGCCTACTTGAGTCAATTCGCCAAATTGTAATCCTAGTAATAAGACACATACAATGGATAAAAGCACACCTGTTTACAGAGAGTGATACAAATAAGACACATACATACAAACCAAATGGACAGTCGTTCGTGCAAGAGAAACAAGTAGCATTTCACTATGTATTGTATCCATATACCACGGAAAAATTCATAAAACATACATGCGCAAAATCATGAAATGGAAAGCATGCCAGCCTTATTATTCAGTAATACTTCAAGTCATTGCATCACGTACGGAAGGGAAATCATCAGCACAAAATCTAAGGTCTAGTTTTCTACACAATTCTTCCATATGAATATTTTTTATCTACATGATGTGAAGGCAATTTATAAAACAAAAGTCCCAGTGCTTAAGTAAGTGTTTCCAAATCAAGTTTCAGCTTCCATTGTATCTCTCGATTGAATTAAGGTCAGCAATGGAAAAGTAAATATGCCCCAAAAACTATTAGAATCATGACAGAAATCTTTCAGAAGTTTATACATAATTAAAGGCAGCTTAAAGTATTGCACATCTAAGAATACTAGCAATAAGGCCTTGTGAGATACGTACTCTTTGTCACCGAGCTTCACTTCAGTTCCTCCATACTCTGGCAGCAGAACAGTGTCTCCTTCCTTCACAGTGGCAGGGATGAACTGTCCCTCCTTATCGCGAGTGCCAGGACCCACAGCAACAACTTTTCCAGAGTTCAGCTAAAAGCGTAATGCACCAAGATTTCAATTTAGAAATTAATTTTTATCCAGACAGCAAAGCCTCACCTTCATGTTATAATGCATATCTTAACCACAAAGAGTTTCTGTAAAAGGGAAAAATTTAATTAAGCAAAGCCCCATTTGAACGAAAAATGAGGCGAATTAGATTTAAAACAAGACCCTTGTTTGCAAACATAGTAGTAAAACGGAAACCTGTTTGCACGTGCTTCTAAATTAACTAAAAGCGCTTCAAATTACCAAAGCTCTATTAATCATGTTTGGAAGAAGCACTTTCATTTTCATTCAATGTGCCTCTAATAGAAGCCCTTTTACTGGAAGTGCTTGTGAGTTATGAGCATAGGTGCTCTTTAAAGAAGCAGTTCCAACTGAGCCCTACATATATTCATCCTTGCTTTGATTTAGTGGTTCAAAAATGATAATACCTTTCCAATTTCTGATTCCAAAAAGTACCCAGATACAGAGAACACTCAAAATTCGTAGAGAGAGCGAAAAATCTAAAACCCGAATTATCAAACATTCCACAATTTCCACTACTAAAAATCCAATAACACCAAAACCCAGAAACCAAACCCTACTTACATTTAAACTATATTGCATTATCTCGAGTTTCTCAGGAAACAAACGCACAAATGAGAAAGTGGGGAGAGAGTATGGGTAAAATGATAAAAGTATATACCTTGGCGGACTTCTCCGGAAGTAAGATTCCGGTGGCGGTTTTCGACGGAGGGACGATTCTCTCAACAAGAACGCGATTCAAGAGTGGAACCAGACGCTTCGCCATCACAAAACTGGAAAGTAACGGCAACGCACGCGCAGAGAAAGAATCGTAAGCAGCTAAACCCCTTAACTCTTTCGTTTTTGTGTAGGGTTTAGGTTTTTAAAGGGTTCCACGCAAAAAAATTGAATAAATAAATAAATAAAAACTGGTATCAATACTCTCAAAATTTCATTTTGCATAACAAATTTTTTAAATATAGAAAGTTTAAAGTTTAAAGTTTTTTAAAAAAAAAAATTTGAAGTTTAAAATGAGAATTCTCAAAGAAAAAGAAATTATTAAAAGTTTAACTTAAATTCCATATAGGTCCATGTGGTTAAATAAAATCCCCTACATTTTTTTCAACTTGTTTAGACTAAACATTTGTTCCTTTAGACCTACTCTAACCGTAAAACACAAATTTTAGGTTTTAAACCTACCTCAACTTACTCCAACATTTGGGCCAAACATGAGTTTTAACCCAAAATTCATTTTTGTGATAAATTTAAGCCATAATTCCCCTGCGTTAGTGAGATGGCCCACCATATATGTGTACTTTTTTAAGTTTTATATTTATAAATTCATAGAATCCAACGTATAAAATCTTATATAATCAAATCCAATGGTAAAAAAAAAAAAAAAAGGATTTAACAGTCCAAATTTAATTCCAACGGCTAAAATAATTATAAAAAAAAAAAAATTCATGTGTTTCATATTCTATCATAGTGTTCCATCAATTTCATGGTGTCGGTTTAATTTTTTTTTTTTTTAATTTTATCTGAATCTAAATATTTTTAAGTAAAAATGTTCACAAAATTGAATTATAATAACCTACATAATTAAAAAAAATTATCATAAATTCATTTTTTTGGTAATCTCGGGCTAAAAATTTAACCTAGAAGGATTAGAGGAAAAAAAACTGTTTCTGGGTCAAAAATTTTAACCTAGGATTTGGAGATGATAAAGGCAATTTAAAAACAAGCATAGCCCAAAACTAAATACAATCGAAAAAACCTAGAAAGAGCAAGTCCACAATAACAAAAATTTTATATCTGGAAGATTGCATGTTCCACTCCACCAGTTGCATCGCCATCGACGATCCGCCGCCACCACTAAGAAGAAGAACCCATGAACAAACTAAATGAACGAAAAACAGGGGTGAGTGAGCCACCTACATAAAATGCGCTCCAATAATTATACCAAATAGTGCTAAAAGCACTTTAATAACCACTTAACACTAAAGTGCGCCGCCGAAAAGAGACACGCTATGGGTTGACTAGCAAAGGTTGGTGATGATGGCCTGACGACTAAAACTACCAAAAAATGATGTTCAAAAGACTAAATTATCCTAAGACTAAAACTTTATCCCCCTCTAAAATCCGGTATTTCTTCTCTTTGAACCCTCATCTCCATACCAATTATTCAATTTTAATACTCGAGGTCTCGAACATCTTTCCCATACTCACACATCGCTATCGGCTACTTTATTATGATTCGAATCGCAATTGTGGAGCTCGTCTTACAATGGAGGGCGTTAACTGCAAGGTTTGTGGTAAAATAAAATATAAAAAAAAAAAAATTTGCACTCGTTTGGGTTAAATGATTGGTGTTATGATCTCTTGGTTTAATTGCTCTTGCTTAGGTTAAGTGATTGGTGTGTTACTCTCAGTAGTGCGATGGTGCCTGGCCCCTGTGGTTCAACAATGGGGATGAGGTTTGAAGTAGAAAAAACAATCTTGGGAAGAAGAGAGTTTTAGTCTAACACTTTGTTTTGGATTAGAAAATTTAAGATTACTAAAGAAAATTTAAAATAACAAAATTTTATTTTCTAAAATTTGTGACTTTTATTTTATTTAAGAGTTTAATGGACTTATAAACTCTATCAAAAGCCTAACACTACATTTTTTTTTTTTTTGAGTCGAGCGATAGCGTTAGTAAGTGTTTGGACCAGATTTTACTTCATCGGCTCGAGTAATCAAGGCCGTTGAATGAGCTGAGTTCTAGACCGTTGGATGACAAATCGGTTGAGATAATTTTCAATATTATTAAAGGATGATATTATGGTTTTAATCATAATGATTATCTCTTAATAGTATTAAATTATCTAGACTTACCATTATCTGGAACACAGCTGGGTGATAAAGCAGTAGCATATGATAATGCCGAATAAAATAAATATTGCAATTGATGAACAATTAGTGTGGCATTGCATGGTTGCACCTATACAAATGAGTGGAAGAGGGAGTCTTTTGTTTAGATTAGGCTACCAAGGAAAGGAAAAGCACAACATGGGCTAAAGTGCTCAGACTTTGGTAATGCATGCACTTGGACGTGAATATGGGTCTAAACATTGCATGGTTATTTAGGATGCTATGGGAAGAGTTCCATGTGCTTGTAAATTGATCTGATTGCATGGTTACCATACGTGGATGACAATTATCATAGTGTAGCTTTGCTCATTTGGAATAATATTCATAGGAATATTATTTATTTCGATTGGATACTCCAAGTCACGGCAATAACTTCATAGCGTGTTCATCAAGGCATGTCCCTATAAATACAAAGCGGCAGACGACATTCAAACTCTCTCCAATTCAACACACAAACTGCTATGTGCAAACTCTTGCTCTACGCGAAACCTCTCAACAACCTTGAGATTTTTATTTTCCTTTTTCTGCCAACACATCTTTTGTTTGGATAAACAGCACTGTGAAGGCAACTGGCGAACATTTTCAGTTTGGATAAACAACATTGTTGCTGTAAAATCAGCCGACAGTGGAGCATTTTCAGTATGGATAAGCAACATTACGTCGATGCCAACTGGTTATCTATCCAAGTCTCAGTCGAGAAGGATTTTTGAATCCTTATTGGCAGAGGTCATCTCATTAGCCTTCTCGGCGAAGTAAGGTATTACAAGTTACTACATTCGGCACATTGAAAGCCAAATTTGATATTGAACTTCGCAGAACTAGCAGCTTTGTCTTCAAGCTCTAGAACTCGAAGGCCGAAAGGTGTTCTTTCCTCGGCCATAGTCGCAAGATCAAGAAGTCAGCAGCTCGCTCAACGCAACATCAACATATTTTACTCCTCGGCTGAGCTCGGCTAACGAGTTGGCACGCCCCGCACACAACTGAAGAACCTAGTTAGCTTTTTAATTACTCGGTCTGCGCACCACGTAGGCTCGGTAGTTTTTAGGGTCAACAATAAATTAGATGTTAGATTAACTATTGACGGAGTTGACGGGGTTTGAATCCACGCCGTCATGCAAGGGCATAACACCTTTCTACCACTGTGGTAAAAGGCCACTGTGGATTAGGAAATTTAAGATTACTAAAAAAAATTTAAAATAACAAAATTTTATTTTCTAAAATTTGTGAATTTTATTTTATTTTAAGAGTTTAATAGATTTATAAACTCCATCAAAGGCCAAGAATTTATAAATCCATAAAAAAATCCTCAAAATCTATTTGAAAAAAAAAAATCCTCAAGATCTCAATTGAATACAACCTCTAAAAGAACAACGAAACTTGCATACAGAATTGTTGTTTTTAAACTCTCAGTCATAAAAATTCAGAAGTAACACCTATTTACATGAAATTTAAACTTGGAAATTGGAAATCACAAATTCGTTTTTTTTTTTTTTTAGTCGGAAATTCTAAATTTCTATGTTTATACATTTAATTAAGAGAATTGGTGCATTTCAATTTATAAACAATGACTTTTGTCAAAATTTCAAATTTATTTCTCTCATTCTAACAGATTGTGTAAAGATAATTGAGTCTTCTCAACATCAATTTTTATTATTTTTATAAGAATTAAAAAAAAAGGTTATATCTCTAATCTCTAATCTCTTAATTAATAAAACACTCATTGTCAACCAAAATCATATGAAATTACCAGTTTAACCCTCTAATTAAAATAGAACATGAATAAGAAATATGTGGCAAAAATGTAATTTCACACAACCAAATTTTGCTATTTTTTTTCTTCAAAGCCTCACCTACATGTAATTTTAACATTTTACACAACAAAATTTTACTATTTTTTTTTTCAAAGCATCACCTACATATAATCTTAACATATCTCTAATTAAAAAATAATAATAAAAAAACAAAACAAAAACATCCGACTCTCTCCACGTTATCTCTCTCTCTCTCTCTCCCCTTCTCATTTTCTAAAAAAATGTGTTTATACATACAAAGTGTGTTGGCAAATGCTAGTTAAAAATAAAAAGAACAAAAAATAGTTACGTGGGGAAAGAATTGTTGACTTGTATAGTTTCCCATAATTTAGGGCTTCCTAGTTTAGGATAAATCTCTTGTAATTTGTGTATATTCCCTGTGTAATCTCCTGTAATTATTTTTCCTTATTTGATTAGATTAGGGTTGTATATCAATACCTTTTTATGAGAGAATAATATAGAATTGAAAGCATTCTTTCTTCTTGGCACCAGAGCCTTGTCGAAAACCAGAAACAAAACCCTATTTGGGTTGGGCTTGCAGTGCTCTGCACACTACTGCAACGAGTGACTCCAAAAAGTCATTGCTGCCTTGAATTTCATCCGCCAACAACAACAATTTCATTGATGTTTGTATTCTGTCAGCTTTTGATGATTATTTATCACGTTTGTTTACTACCGAATTCTTGCCGACAGCAGGCCACATGGCTGATCAGGATGTGAAGGCTGCTGCTTCAATTATGGTACATTCAGACAACTCGAGTTTCAATATTGGTATGGTACTGGATGAGAAGAACTACAATTTGTGGGCTCCTCTCATTCAGATTCATATTGCTGGAATAAAGAAGAAGGGATATCTTTGTGGGTCTATCAAGGCACCCAAAGATGATGATCCTAAATATGATGACTGGTTCTCCGAGGATCAAAGAATTAAGAGTTGGTTGTTATCATCGATGAAGCCGGAAATTATGAAGCAGTACATTCGATTGTCTACTTCAAAAGAAATTTGAGATTTTATTAAAACTGCTTATTTTGATGAGAATGATGAGGCTATAATTTACACATTGAATCAAGAAGCATCGCATCTTCGTCAAAATGGCAGATCATTGGCTACTTATTTTGGGGAGCTAACTGAGATTTTTCAGGAGTTGG